TCTTCACCCTAGTGATATGAAAAACACTAGTGAAAAACATATTTCACGGCTACTGCGCAGTGTGAATATCGCGGAGTTTTTCACGGAGTTTTACACCATTTCACATAAAACGGATCGTGAAACTCCAATATTATGTCAGCAATAATATACCAAAAAAGTTACATATGATAGTGAATGAGCTCAGACAGGTCCATCAGTTGATCATAGGCAAGTCGAAACTCAGCCTCGGGGAACTTGAAACCGACGTAAATTGCAGGAAGTACGGTAGACACGCGCGGATCCTGAAAAACGTGACACGAAAAACATTAGTGAAAAACACATTTCACATTTCGCTTCGCGAAAAACGCATGTGAGCAATGAACAACGAGTGATATAACATATTAATGATAAACGAAAATTTGTAAATAATGCTCACATACCACGTTTCACGTGATATCGTGTAATTCGTCAATTCAATTCACATCGCGAATATCGCGTTTTTCACACAGAGTATTATGCCACTTCACTTCAAACGGGTAAAACTCCAATTTTAAGCTCACTGGTGACACGAGCTTTGATTGCAAGACTCCTTATCTACGCCATAAAAGAAAATGGAAATTTTCCTGGAGATTTTTTCCTGACAAAAAAATAAATATATATGCAAGAGCAAACCGACTGCTGTTAATATTGCTATATAATATCGTTACTTCTAGAAATTTTACTGGAAAAATTTTTCCTGACGAAAAAATACATCATAATTTGCTCTACGCGTAGTTTTTCTCGAAAAAATATGACTTTTTGAGGCTTGAGAAATTTCATTCATCTACCATGTATAGGAAGTCAGTGCAGTTAGACATTCCCTCAGATTACTATCGATGACGGCAAAAGCACAGCAAAGAGTATCAACATGTTCGCTTTCCTCATCACAGGAGTTTCCAAAGCTAAATATACCAGTTTATATACAAAAATCACTTCGAAAATTCACAGAAACCAACGACAGTTTCCCATATTGTCATCACCAACACAAGTGATTGACCATATACATATTTCACCCCACTAAATATCGTAATAATCAACTTCAACTACTGCGTCATGACACTGGAGGAATAAATAGAATCTAACCTTACAACACTTCTCATATCACCAACGACTATCGCAGCTTGTACCAAGTCTCAGCCAATGATATCAATGGAAGTGAAATAACACAAAATGAAAATATGTGTGTGTGTGAGTTTGAGGTCCAACGCTTACGACAAGTCGGGGCGAAAGATATGGAAAAGGAGGGGGAAAAGAGAAAAAAATAAGAGAAAAAAGGGAGGAAAAAGGGATAAAAAAGGAGAAAAAAGAAAAGAGAGAAAGGAGAAGAATCTGTGTGTGTGAGTGATTTTAAAATCAAATGCCTATTACGGCAACACGGCTCAGCTAGAATCGCATCGATGCACATCAGCCCTCGAGGGATCAGCTCTAGCCGTGTTTAAATTGTCTACTGTCATCATCGGCGAGATAACCTCTGCCAATGCCAATGTACTTCCTCTCAAAATGAGAACACATATATCAGTATATAGTTCACTATCCCAACTCACATTCGATTGATTATTTTCCATTCCACTGGGAATCCAATCTTCATCATGGGGTGAATAGCACTCATTTAGTCCAGCCCTCACAGGCACCTATACTCAGATAATTAACCAGAGAAACCTATAATGTTCCCGGCTGGGAACACATTCTTTAATCAGTTTCCCCGATGTAAATGTCCTCACATTAGTAACATCATTTTCCCCATTGTTATCAAACGCTAGGGAAACGTTATCTCTCAAAGCTAGTTAGGTTCCTGTATATACTCAAAAAAATGATGATAATAAATATTTTCCCACTAACCTTAGTAGTTATAATACGTAATTCGCGATAAACAAGTTAACGATGTAAACATTGCTATGATAACAGTAACCTTTCGAGACTATGATAGCGACAAGCTGTTCACTATCAATGGAGTTTCACAACCCGTTTTACGTTAAGTGGCGTAATACTCTGTGAAAAACGCGATATTCGCGGTATGTAGTAGTCGTGAAATGTATTTTCCACTAGCGTTTTTCATATCACTAGGGTCAAGAAACTCCATTAATCTCGGAATAGAAGAAAACGCACATGTGCATATCAAATTGGCACACATTGGAGTTTCTCCCGTGATATGAACATTTCTCACGACTACTGCATATCACCGCAAATATCGCGAGTTTTTTACAAAGTATAACGCCACTCCACGTAAAACGGGTCACGAAATTCCACTGAGAACAATCCAATTTTCCCACTAACCTTAGTAGTAATAATACGTAGTTCGCCATCAACAGGTTGGAGTAAATAAGATTCGCATCGAATCACACGCTGTAAATCTGAAATAATAAGATCTGGCAAGAACATTAGCAGCCACATGTGTGGTAATCGTTATAAAATTTTGAAAAATTCTTACTGATTTTTCTACGCTTCTACTCGAATTCGTACGTAAATTTCAATAATAAGCTTTGAAAACTGCTGAGCTCAGCTGAGAAAAGCGAACACATATATCTACGTAAGTTCAAATTACGGCAATACAGTGTGTGCCAATTTGATATGCATATGTGAGTTTCCTATTCCGGGATTAACAATAATAGTGAACAACTTGTCGCTATCATAGTCTCGAAAGGTTACCATAATTACATCACATGTTCATAGCAATGTTTACATTTGTTTATATTATGCAAATGTGAAGAATGTGTGTTTTCTATTCCGAGAATAATGATAGTGAACAGCTTGTCGCTATCATAGTCTCGAAATGTTACCATAATTACATCACATGTTCATAGCAATGTTCATGCGACATATTTAAACATCGATTCTCAGGAAAAACCACAAATCTTCCAAATTTCCATATCAAATTCACACACACTGTTTGTTACATCATCCGAATAATTGTCGCAATTTTTTTCCAAAGAAAAAGAAATTCTTGTTTTTTTTGAAAAAAAAAATGAGACAACACCACCGAAAAAAACCAATCACGGGAAAAGTCAACTACCATGAAAACAAGCTAAAACACTCTCGTGAGTGCCAAACTAAACAATTCTCAACAGTGTTGGAGGAATATATGTTCGCTTCCCTCCGCTGAGCTCAAAATTTTCCAGAGCTAATTATAAAAATTAGGGTAACCAACAATGGAGTTTCACCCGTTTTACGCGAAGTGGCGTAATACTCCACGTGAAAAACGTGATATTCGCGATGTGAAGTGAATTGAAAACACTTCGCGAATTACACCAGACAAATCATCACATTTCGCGTAAAACGCTTCCGGCATTTCGCGATAAACGCGAAAAACTCCGAGTAATCGGCGTTTTACACCATTTATTTCACAAGGGAGATTGTGAATTTCGCGAAATTTTTTATCGAGAAAAACGCGACTTGGAGACGTGAAAAAAGGAATATGAAATGAATTTCACTTCCCGATGTGAATTTCGCGTGAAAAAACGCGTTTTGGCGAAATTCGCATGAAGTAAATCGCGATATGCACCGACTAGGGTGAAAAGACCAGTGAAAAACACGTATTACACTTCACCTTCATTTTTCGCGAAAAACGCGTAATTCGCCAGAAAATACGCGTTTTTCGCGTTTTGCACGGAAAAAACGCGAAAAACACCTCATCTCGCAGTAAAATCCATTAAAAGCCCCCTTCATGCCACTGCCAGCTGTCCACCCACATTTCACTCTATGGAGTCACCTCACTCGTGGGATGATCATGATCATCATCATCCCGTCAACAGCCATATGTAGCAACCAGCCTTGCGGACCCCTCTGTGAGGGATTGTGGGCGAGAGCTGAGCGAGGCTCGAACCAGGGACCTCTCGATGTACGGCCGAACAGGCTAACCAGTTCGACTATACATGCTAAGATTTCACGGAGTACCCGTCCACGCCGGCTTCATCAGGTCTTCACCTTATACTGGTTCGGATAGCTCAGTAAGAGCAAGGCTTGGACTCCAAGCCTTGGAGACCTTAAAAGAGTAAATCATACCCTGTGGCGGTTCATTCATACGTTTCGGAATACAGATAATCCGAGACACGCTGCCGCAGGCAGCTCGAGTCCCAATGGTGGCAGGGGTGGAAAGTTTTGAATAATGACATCCATAGGATTCGAACCCGCACCTCCCCAGGAAGGACTTGATCCGTCAATGGTACGACGGTGATGGCCGACAGGGACTGTGCCACTGCGTGGCAGAGCTCACTCCACAGTGACAGTGGCCACTGGTACGGCACCAATTAATCGGGCACCTGTCTTGTGACCGAGACTTCGGGGGGAGCCCCGCAAGTCTTCGGTCCACACCACCTAGTCGACCAGCCTTGAATAATTTCATGGATATGTATAGATATTCAGTTGGACTGGAGGATCACTGAAGCCAGAGTTGACCAGCTAGAAATTTGCATGCATATCGCGCCAAACGCGTAAAACGCGAAATGATTTCGCGTTTTGCATATCACATGAAAAACACCTCACATGTTTTACGCGAAATTCACTGTTCACATGCGTTTTTCGCGAAGTGAAATGTGAAATGTGTTTTTCACTAGTGTTTTTCACATCACCGGTGAAACTCCAATAATTTACTT